ATTTAATCATTGAAAATGCTATAAAACATATTAATACTTTAAAAAATGCGTTATATTTAATGTTTACAACATAAGGTTTATAATATATGATAGTAGCATACAGACAGAAGAGAAAAATTATTACAAATTATCATATCGGAAGAATTAGTACGAAATGGAATAATGAATTAATAATTATTAATTTTCGAATTACAAAATAAAATATTTGCATGTTTGATAATAGCAGTGATTGTAGAAATACAAATAATGTATTTGTATTTAATATTTTTTTAACGTTAATCAGAAACACTTTATTATACATAAATATATTTACAATTATCAAAAAAGCGAAATCAAATGTACATTCGTGTACATAATATAATATTTATGTTAATATTTTATCTTGTTACTTATGTGTACATCGTAGCAGTGTAAAATTTATATTTTATTTTGTTGTTTTTATAATATAATAGATTCTTTTAATTTCTACTTGAAATATATTTCTAAAAAAAAAGATATATTTATATTTTATAGATCTTTTATGCTTTCAATGAAGAGACGAAGTTTACTAATAAATGTATTATTTTCATAATTAATCAGAACTATAACTTTATTTTAAGTATTAAATCTTGTAGGACCGTGAGAAACACAACCAATAAGAAATTGTCTTTAACGATCGAGCTGAATCTTAGGTACTAATTATAATTCCGTGTGAATTTATATATTACATATATGGTACAGTCTTTCAAACTGCTCGCCGAACAATTTTTCGGTCTTGAAACGCCACTCTACAAAACTACCGCAATAGTATCACGAGTTAAATTATCTAACAATTTAACAATTTTGATACATACCATCTTGGATCTTAATAATGTTGAACGACATATTCAAATCTATAAATGAAAATGGTTTAAAAGACTACGTACGTAATATATGTATAAATTCACACGGAATTATAATTAGCACCTAAGATTCAGCTCGACCGTTAAAGGCAATTTCTTATTGGTTTTATTTTAAGTCTTTAACTATTTTAATTATTTTGATTTTTTTATGGTTTTTTATTAAACTTTTAATTTGAATTGTTAAAAGTACAGTTTTAATTTTTTGTTTAAATATTACGTTTAACAATTTTTTTATCGTGTAATTTCTTTTTTACAAGACATTGATTTCATTCAACACAAATTTCGTGTTAAAATAGACATCTCATTGTTTTGCATAAAAAAATACTACTTATATAAAGTTCGTCGTGCCTTTTTGAAAATAACAAGTGTTCATAAAAAAATATTACATTCTAACATTTTGTGTAAAGATATACTACAAGATGATCGAAACACATCACATCAAGTAGAATGCTTTGTATATATTAATGTTACAGAAACTTAATTGTAGATGGAATATATGTAAATTAGAATTATTTATTTATCTTAATTAATTAATTATTTATTTATTCATTAAATTATGCATAAAAATAAAAAAACCACTGAATATATATTACGGAAATAAATTTATTTATAAACCTTCCCTTAAAAATGAGGTGTCTTAAAAAATTAATTGGCAGACGTTTTGTAAAATTTATCTACAGAGGGGGATAAAGATTCATCTATTTAACCTTCCTCATATTTATCTACAACATGATGAGTAAATAGCTATCTTACAGTGATGGACAATTACCAACAGTAATTAGTCAGTGTGTTGGTAATTAGTCTTTTTTCGTAACGATGAGTGGACCCACATTGTCATCGCACTCTTTATTATGCCGTCCGTGAGTACCATCACAGTATGGCCACTATATATAAAAAATGATTAAGAATGAGACATATGTGTGCATTAAATGTAGGAGATCGTATTATGTATCAACGATATTAATTCTTATCGGACTGCAAGAATTCAAACCGATGAAAACAAGTCGCAGCGGTCTAAGCTGGATCAAGGGTGCTTTTATATATTGTGTGTATATATATATATATATATATATATATATACCTAATTGTATGTGAATTTAATTATATACTATATAAATTTTTGATTACGCGCCGAAATTTTTTCAGACTTGAAACTTTTTTCAACACGGAATGCCAGATCCGAGTTCGACTCCCGGCCGAGGTAATATTTTTCACAATGAAAAATTAATTATTTACAGATTTTAATAGGTCATTCAACATTATCAAGATCAATATAAGATGCATAAACAGCATCAAAAATCGTTAAATTATTAGTCAATTTAACTCTTGATATTGCAGCGGTAGTTTATTAGTGTTGCGTTTCAAGTGTGAAAAAATTTCGGCGCGCATTTTAAGAATCATATGTAGTATATAAACGAAATTATATAATAGAAGCATCCAAGATCCAGCTTGACCGTTACGGCATGTTCTCATTGGTATTTATTAGTTTAAACTTTCAGTTTAAATAAAGTCCAATAAGATTTGATATTGAAATATTAAGATATACATAATTTTTTTTATCTTAGAATTTTGATTTCTATCAGAAAAGAACTTACATTTTCAGATCTCCAACAGCGACAAAATACAGCTTTTTCAGAGATATCTTCAATATCAATGGTGTCCACTACTTTTGGAATATCTTTTTTTACTTTGAGGTTGACGCGACCATGTGGCTATAAAATAATTAACTCGCATTATTACATAAAAATAGATAAAAAAATTAATAAAATTATAAATATATATATATAT